TAAGGGGGTGAGGGATAAATTGGGAGACTGGGATGGGCATAGACACACTACTATATATAAAATAGGTAACTCATAAGGGCCTACTGTACAGCACAGGGAACTCTACTCAATACTCTGTAATGGCCTATATGGGGAAAGAATCTAAAAAAGAGTGGATATACGTATAGGTATAACTGATTCACTTTGCTGTACACCTGAAACTAACACAACGTTGTAAGTCAACTATACCCCAATAAAAAAAAAAATTTTAATGGTTAACGTGGTAAATGTTATATTATACGCATTTTACCACAATAAAAAAAAATTGGAGACAGGGTCTTTAAAGAGGTGAATAATGTAAAATGAGGTCCCAAGGGTGGGCCCTGATCCAATATGACTGGTGTCCTTATAGGAGGAGGACATTAGGACACAGACACACACAGAGGGACAACCCTGTGAGGACACGAGGAGGAGGTGGCCGTCTGCACGCCCAGGAGAGGCCGCCTCAGGAGGACCCAGCCCCGCGCACACCCTGAAATGGGACTTGCAGCCCCTAGGACTGGGCGGGGGGCAAGTGCCTGTTGTCTGAGGCCCCCAACGCACCCTCCCCAGTCTGTGGTATTTGCTGCAGCTGCCCTAGAAAACTCATGTACAGATTAAAGGAGAAACATCGTATGATCATCTCAACTGACGAATAACTGAAAATTCAACGTTCGTTCATGATTTTTTATCATTAGCAAACTAGGAATAAAATTGGACTTCCTGTGAATCTCCCAGGTCTTCCCCGCGCTCTGCTCCTTCTCTTCGGGGTTGGAGGGAGGACCTGGGGCCACAGGACGAGCCCCACCCTCTGCCACCAGCAAAAGGATCCCCAACAAGCCCTTCCCAGGCCGCCCGCCGGGGGGCCTCCAAGGTGTCTTTTCAGCCTGTTAACAAGCAGTCCTGGCCATCGAGACCCAGCAAGGGGTGCGAGATTAGGGATGTCACCGTGAGCATCTGGGGAAGCCAGCTCCAGCGCCTAGACCTCAGCCAGAGACCCAGGACCGGGTGGACAAAACTGGAAGGTGGACGAGGCCTGAGTCCCCTCCTGGACGCCCTTGACTGGACAGCCCTCGCCCGGCCAGAAACCACATAACATTCCCCACACGTGTGCATGCACACACATGCACGTGGGCACAGCCCCACACGTGCATATGCACACCCGTGCACGCACACACACATTACACATGTATACGGCCATACATGGGCAGGCACACAAACCCATGCATGCACATACACACACGTGGGCCCACAGGTGCACACATGCGGATGTACGCAGGTTCATGTGGGGGCACGTGGGTGTGCACACTTGCATATGTGTGCACGTAGGTACACACATGCACACACATGCAGGCATGCCTCACCACATTCCAAACGGTGAAACATTTATAGGCCTCATTATTTAAACCAATGCAGTGACACTAAAATTTGCTAAAAGGATCTAAAAAAGAAGCCAGATGATTTGGAAATTCAAAGCTACTCTCCTAAATAACTCCTAGGTCGGAGAGCAAATGAAGTTGCTGTGACAGACGATTTTACAGGCGTTGGGAGAGAGACTGCACGTCCCCGGGGCCAGCTTCAGGAGCGGTTGTCAGAGAATTTGCAACCTTAAATGTTTTTATTACTGAGCAAGAGAGACTGAAAATAAATGAACTAAACATTCGACACAAGGAGGGAAAACAGAACAATAGAGTAAATCCACGGGAGGCAGGAGCGAGGAGTACAGATAAAGGCGGATTAATGAATTGGAAACAAGGAAAATGGGGGAACTCAAAAGTAAATCCAAGCGCTGGTTCCTCAAAATAAATAAATAAAATAAACAAACGTCTGCCCAGGCTAATCAACAGAGCGAGAGAACCCAGACGCCGCGCGGGCCCCGAAGAGGGGACCAGAGAGCCCGGATTAGAAGTGTCAGGTTAGTACATGGGATATTCTTGATGAAACTGACAACGTTCTAAGACAATATAAATTACCACAATCAACTTAAACAGGTTTTTAAAAGCTATATCCACAGCTGCAGAAAAATAGAAAAAGGTGCATGATGGGCAGTCACGTCCCCTCCCACTCGACACCAGGGCAGAGGCCCACAGTCGGGAAGTCCATGGGCTGCGGGCACCCCGGGAGGGGGGCCCGGCTGAGCACTGGGGTGGGGGAGGGGGTCAAGGTCAGGGGGCCCGGGGAAAGGGAGGAGGGGCTTGGCACCTATGAGCTGGTGGCCACTGTGAGGGGACCAGGGCCCTTTCCCTGCTGTCCGGAGGCCTGGGGTGGAGGCCCGGAGACGGACCCTGCTTGCCCTCGACCCTGACCACTCTGACCCCTGACCCCGACCACCGCTGAGCTCCACCCCACCCCACCGCCCCTCCACGCCGTCTCGTCAGGGTCGCGCCGGCCACACTGGACTCTCGGGGGCGTGTCTTCCCCAGCTGGAATCTCCTCCAGCCTGTGTATTTTGTAGGATTTGCCCGAAGCCATCTGGGGCGGGTGTGGTCTTTGCAGGAAGATGCTCAGCCACGGCCCGTTTTGTTCAGTGGTTGCAGGACTACCCGTGGGTTCTGACTCCTGGCACCAGTTCCTGCACTATTTTCCTAAGAATTCGCCCCTTCCTCCTCGCCGCCCACCTCGCCCTCTCACCACCGTCAGGGGCCCTGCTGCTCTCAGGCTTTGTCCTCTTGTCGCCCCTGACTGTCCCTCTGGGCTCCGTCCCGCTCGGCCCGTCACCTGAGTCCATCAGAGGCAAGACTCCAGTCTCCTCGCTCTGGCTCCGTCCGCTTCCGTCGCTTCTGCTCTTATTTTACTATCGCTTTCCTTCTGTCTTTGACTTTATCCTTTAATTCCCCGAATTCAGGCATCAGCAAGCGACCCCTGAACGGTGACTGGCTGAGAGAGCTCAGATGGATTTTCCACTTCTGTGGGGAGAAGACTGTATGTGACCCTCCAAATCCAAGGTATTTACTATCTGGGGGAAACCAGCATGGGGGTCATAAGGCACTCACCTGGAAGAGGTCAGGAGGCTGGGAGCTGAGGAGCAGCGGCGCTCACCTGGGATCCTAAGATGCCCCTCCGCGGCCGCCCAGACCTGCAGGCTGACCCCGAGCAGCTCGGGGTGACACAGATGTGTTCGGCCTGGAGAGCCACGGCCGGCCCAGCTGGACAGGGTTGTGGGGAGCTCTCCCCTGCCCACCCTCCACCTGCCCAGGGCCCCCTGGGGCTGGGCCCGGCTGGGCTCACTCCTGCACACAGCGCTGCCCCTGCCGTCGCCGACTCTCTCCCGCGCCTCCCCGCCTGGGCCCTACATGGCAGCCTCGGCCAGGCCAGGGTCCCCTCCTCCAGCCCCCGCCGAAGAGCAATCCTGGGGGCTCTCCAGCCGTCCCGACACCACCACCACCACGTCCCCTGCAGCCACCTTCCCGTCTCGCCCCCACCCCGGCCCCCTCGGCACCTTATTTATGTTCTTTTCTCTTTCAGCTAAACCCGGGCAGCTTCCGGGGCTTCCCTTGAGGTCCAGTGGTTAAGACTCCACGCTTCCACTGCAGGGGACAAGGGTTCAATCCCTGGTCAGGGAACTAAGACCCACATGCTGCGCAGCGTCGCCAAAAAAAACCCAAAAAAGGGCTTCCATGGTGGCACAGTGGTTGACAGTCCGCCTGCCGATGCAGGGGACGCGGGTTCGTGCCCCGGTCCGGGAGGATCCCACATGCCGTGGAGCGCCTGGGCCCGTGAGCCATGGCCGCTGAGCCTGCGCGTCCGGAGCCTGCGCTCCGCAACGGGAGAGGCCACAGCAGTGAGAGGCCCGTGTACCGCAAAAAACAAACAAACAAACAAACAAACCAGAAAACCCAGGCAGCTTCCAAATCCCTGCTGTCCAGGTGACACCCCAGACAGGCCCAGCCAGTGGCAGGGGCCTCTGACTGGAAACGTGGACTGTTCAGAAAAGGCAGGAGGCCCCTCTGCGTCTGTCTGCGGCACAGACATCCACCTCCCCCATTTCCCCAGGAGAGCAACCAGGAGCCGAACTGTGCCTCTGATGACAGCGGGGCCCTCAGGCTGCCGCCGAGGTTTTAAGAGAAGAAAGACCTCTTCGACACTGATGGGAACAGAAGCCTTTACGGCCACTTCAGTTCTGCAAGTCAATGTGTCAGAACAGGTGCTGCTGAGTTTCCCAAGAGGCACGAGGCGGGTGGGTGCCCGGCAGGCGGCCGCACAGCGCTCAAAGACCCTGCCCCCCACCTCGCAGGGCAGGGCCAATGGGGGGCCCGTGGGGAAGAGCACGTTTCCCAGCTTTGCCCGGCCCCCAGCTAAGCCCAAACCAGTTCAGAAGGCGCTTCCAGTTAACAACAGGGCCCCACAACCATTTTCTCAGGAAAGAAAACCAAGAATATTTCTTCAAAGATTATAAGCGTTTCCTTTCGCTATTGCAAACTCCTTCCTCTTACCCAAAGTTCCTTAGATCAACTTCTTTGGTAGAAAGCCTGTGATTTTATTAAGTTAGAATGAACAAAAAGAGATCCGAGGCCAACCAGGCCTACGTGACCTGCGGAGTAAAGCAAGAAGCAGAAGCCACGCCGCAAAGCAAATGAATGCCTTTTATTGAAGTGACAGAGCAGGGCTGCCAGGACCACGTCCTCACGGCCTGTCCCAAGTCCTCAGCGACGCGGCCCTGCTCCAAACAGCCCAGCACACGATGACCGCGTCCACAGAGGGGCCGGCCACGCGCCTGGTGTTTCCAAGCAGCTGAACCACGCGCAGTGCCCTTCACAACAGGCGTTTCACCAAAGGAACGCAAACCCACCCCAGGGTCTGTGCACAGACCCTGTTAACAAAATGCCCTCACGAAAATTCACTTCAAAATAGAAATGCTTTCTCGGAACCGTAAACGCCGTAAAAATGCAGAACACTTCTTTAGGAAAGACTGGATCAAAGCGACACCTCGAGTTCAAAACAGCGCGTTCAAGGGGAAGAGCCGGGCCTCCCCTGCCTGCCAGTCAGTTGTTCTCGATCTGCTCCAGGTCCAGCTCGCCACGGCCCAGGGGGAAGATGCCCTCCTCCCCAGCGCTGTCCCAGTCACTCGGGTCCCCACCCTCGCCCTCACCGGCCACCCACCCCCGCCAGACCCCCGGGCTGGGGCTGGCGGCGCCAGGGCCGGGCGCAGCGGTGCCCGTGGGGCCCTGCGGGTCGCACGGGGAGGACACGGCTGTCTTCACTCGGGCATCTTCCTCATCCTCGTCTTCATAATCGAGGGAGCAAAGGCTTTTTGAATTTTTTAACGTCTGCAACAGAAAAGACACGGGCTTGAAGCATCTCCAAGGAGGCCACAGGGGAGGTGGCATCCCACCAAGAGGGGTCCCCGAGGTCACAGAAGGCATCCTCGGTCCCCTGGGCCCCGCCACACGCCCTCCCACCCTCGGGCCCATTTTCTCAGAGCCCTGCCTGCCCGGGCCCTTGCCTTGCCCAGGGCCACGACCCCACTGAGACCCGGCGCACGGGGGACGGGGCCCCGGGGACTCGAGGCCGGAGGTGTGTCCACGATCCCATCAAATACCTGGGGAAGGACTGGCCGGAGGTCCAGGGTCCTCACACAACAACGGCCCCGCTCGTCAGCCCAGCCGGCGCCCACCTCCGCAGCCTGCCTCGGGGGACCCCCGCCAGGGCCCCAGCTCCTGCCAGGCGAGCCCACAGCTGCCCTCAGTGCCCGCCTTCCTCCCCCCTCAGCCCTCCCTCTTGCAGTGGTTCCACTTTCAACACCGACACGCCGCGACTGTCCTCACCTTAGAACGCCTGAGATGCACACTCTACACAGGGGGCCTCCCCCGAGCCTCCACCCCCTCCAGCCTGGCGGGCATCTCCCCACCCCGCGCCCCCCGACGCCCGGCCCAGAGCGCCCAGCTGAGAGCTGCTCTGCCGATGGTCTGCCGCTGCCCCCCGCCCCCGCCCTGAACTCCTGGTCCCGCAGCTTCATGCAGCGCCATGTGCTGCCCACGGCGTGTCCAGGCGTCACCTCTGGGCTGCCCACCCTGCCCCACAGACACGTCACCGCGTGTTTGGGGGCTTCTCAGGGCGCTGGCAGAACCCGATGTGGCGACGTGTGTGTGGGTGTGGCGGCTACGGGGCGAGGGTGTCCCCAGGCCTCCCGCGGTCAGGCTCCTGGACACACGTCTCCCTGGAGCAGGCCCCCCAGAACCACACACACAGCTCCCTCTGGAACCAGCACTTTCGGGGGTGCCCCTCAGCTCCACCAGACCAACGGCCTTATTTCGGCTGTTGTCCTACTGTAAAGGGTGAGCCACCAAGAATTAAAACGGAAGAATCAAGTCCCTGAAGATTTGACAACTGGCCACAAGCCCTGGTCACAAAATGAGGACGCATGAGACAATTTCTTCTTCATTCAAATCAAGGTGGACGCCACAGTCAAGGTCACTTTCATACGCAGACCCCACAGCACGGTGCGCCCAGCCCTGCACCCACAGCAGCAGAAGCCGGCGTGTCCTTCCACACATCTCCACCTACAAAATTCTCCTTTTGATTCACAGCACGGAAGTCGAACCCCTACCCAGACGGTAGTAACCTGACAGCTGGCGGGAGGACCACGGCCCAAAGGTCCTCTCGGTGGCCAGGACGGAGGCCCGCCTACAACCACAACTGCGGCTCAAGCGTGAATGCGGCAGCTCTGGACACTCCCAGCTCAGGCCACGCACAGCTCGAAGCCACCAACTTTTCACAGTGAAGAGCCCAAAAAGGGGCGTCACAAAGCTCCCGAGGGCAACCCTGATCTGGGCCGGGGCCTGACCTAACACGTGTGACCCTCGCTGCTGGACGGTCCTGCTCTGGTCTGACGGTGACCTGCATCTAAGCAGATGAACAGAAAATATCTTTTCAAAAGTCAAGGGTCAGGACTTCCCTGGTGGCACAGTGGTTAGGAAACCGCCTGCCAATGCAGGGGACACAGGTTCGATCCCTGGTCCAGGAAGATCCCACAGGCGGTGGGGCAACTAAGCCCGTGCGCCACAACTACTGAGCTCACGTGCTACAACTACTGAAGCCCGCGCACCTAGAACCTGTGCTCCGCAACAAGAGAAGCCCCCGCAATGAGAAGCCTGTGCACCACAACAAAGAGTAGCCCCCGCTCGCCGCAACTAGAGAAAGCCCACGCGCAGCAACGGGGACCCAACGCAGCTAAACATAAATAAATAAATAAATAAACAAACTTATTTTACAAAAACAATCAAAGGTCAAAACTTTGAGTTCTGAATCAGGGGCCCTCAGTTTTAGAGGGTCTTTCACCTTGTGTGCAAAACACTCAGCCTGGGGGACGCGCCCACCACAGACCATCCAACTGATGCGGGCAAGAGCTCGCGCTCAACCCTCTGCGGCTGGAGCCAAGAGGCCCCGTGAGACTGAGCCGCGAGCTTCTGCAAGCAGCACAGACACAGACACCATCCTGCCAGCAAACGGCCGGCCCGGCCCAGCCGCAGGCTCGTCAGGTCTCTTCCTGGAAGCACAGCCCAGCGTCCATGCTCGAGACCAGAGCTGGCCCTGCCCACAGGCCACGGCCACAGCCCAGGCGGGAGCCTCCGGCTGCCCGGAGCCCCTGGAGCCCAGCACCCAGGCGCGGGTCCAGCCTGGGCTCCAGCCGAGGAGAAAAACCCGGACACGCACCGCGGCCGACCTGGCCGAGTCAAGGCCCTCCTCACCTGCGACGGGCGGAGGCTGGCCCGGTGGACACCACAGGACTGGGGGGACGGGGGGGTCCACCACGAGCAGGACACATGTGGAAACGGGGGCCGCCTGAGGGTCGGCACCCCGTCTGGACCCCCAGCCTCCCCAGGCAGCACTGGAAGAGGCCTCTCTGTGGAACTGGAGGTGAAGACTTGGGGGATCCCAGCACCCCACAAAAAGCTCACGGCCGAAGGGCCAAACCCAGGCACATGGGGCCGCCGATCGGCCTTTGGGTCCCCGTCTTAAACACAGGCAGGCGTCCCAACGTTACCAAACACCTGGGGACAGCATCTTCTATGTAAGGCAGCAGTGAGGATACCCCAAAAGAGGGAGAAGTTTGGAGGAAACAGGCGATGCGGGACGACGAAACGCCCCCCAAAACCAGACACCGACACCAGGGATCCCCAAAACCAGACACCGACACCAGGGGTCCCCAAAACCAGACACCGACACCAGGGGTCCCCAAAACCAGATACCGACACCAGGGGGTCCCCAAAACCAGACACCGACACCAGGGATCCCCAAAACCAGACACCGACACCCAGGGGTGCCCAAAACCAGACACCGACACCAGGGGGTCCCCAAAACCAGACAGCGACACCAGGGACCCCCAAAACCAGACACCGACACCCAGGGGTCCCCAAAACCAGACACTGAACCCAGGGGTCCCCAAAACCAGATGCCGACACCAGGGATCCCCAAAACCAGACACTGACACCCAGGGATAAGATGCTCCACCTGCGAAGCGACAAGGGGAAGAGGGGACCAGTCAGGAGGTCCGCCCTCTGAGGACAGGGCCCCAGAAGGCAGCCTGAAGAAAATCACGCCCCCGAAATCATCTCGCAAGTGATGCGGGAGCCCCCTGGACCCGACTGACCCCCAAGGACCCGGCATAACTGACAAACACAGACACACGAGGTCTGTCCTCACGAAATGCTTGGAGGACAGAGAGGAGATTGGGGAACCAGGACCAGACGGGACGGTGCGGGGCCCGGAAGCTGAGGGCAGCGTCTGGAGCGTGAAGGGGCCGGTCCCGGGCAACGGGAGAGGACGTGCAAGGCCTCTAAATCCATGCCACCCCCCTCCTTCCTCAAGAAGCCGTGCGCTGAAAGAGATGGTGACAAGGAAGGCTGACCCCTGGGTCTCGGGGTTGGCGAGTCCACTCTGCAGTGGACGGCCACCTGTCTCTGGGTCTCTCCGGAGGCCCAGACCCCGGCCAGGGGGGGCCGTCACCAGTTCACACAGCCAGGATGGCACCACCGGGGTGTCTCCCGCTGGGCGGCCTGCAGTGCCCGGGGACCCTCATTTCACCAGCGAGAGCCCCATGGTGACCTCAGCGACAGGGCTACGGGGGCCTTACGAGCACAGCCTCTCTCATGCCTCACGCCCTGGGCCCTGCGTGTCTGGCACCTCTCCTGACCCCGGCACTGACCTTCTCAGAAGAGGGGAGAGAGCGTGGCCCCGAGGCCGCTGGGCACACCTCCACCCACAGTGCCACCCACAGCGGTAACAGCGTCCCCTCCGCAAGAGAGATGGGTGTACCCGCCACACGCGGTTTTTACATTCATCACCTTCCACGTCCGTCTAAAGCAATACGCTCACGCAACAGTTGATCGGGAGAACTGAACAAGTTGGGCAGACTAGACAGAGTCCATCTACCATGACATGGTCTGTTTCTTCAACTTGGGGGAAACTAAAGCACGAATAAAAAGGACGAAATGAAAGGCAGACACGAGCTGCTCAGAAAACGAACTTGAAACATGTGGACAGGGAAGAATCCTCACAAAGACAGAAGCTGCAGATCAACCACCACTGCCCCTGAGGTCTTCCCCGCCTCTGCGGGACCCACCCATGGTGCCCTCCCCCCACCCTGGGCTGGTGGACGGACGGGCAGGGCGAGGCCCCCAGCCCCACCTGCTCACCCTCTGCCCCCCTCAGTCCAGGAGGCCATGAAAAGGCTGCGACTACCTGACCTCTCGGTGCCGGGCCCCCCGCCCTCTCACCGGCCCAGTGACATCCACACAAGACTTGGGAGTCAGGGCCCGGCCGCCCCTGTGGCCACTGGGGAGGCACATCAGCGCCCTGGCCTTGTGGGGGGCCCTCCCCAGGGAAGGCTCACAGCCACATTCCGACCACAATCTCTAAGGCACTGTGTGCATGACACAAAAATAAGGACAAGAACCAAGAGGCTGCTTCTGTGAGAAAGCAGTGGGAACCCAGCTGACCAACAAGCTTCCAAGCCTGGCGGCTCCGGGCAGCTGTGGGCGGCAGGCCCAGGTGGGAGCCGGCCTCGGACGGCACGGAGCCCCAGCGCTGCGTCCAGGGGCCTGTGCACTCTGACATCTTGGGGCTCCTCCCGCACCTAGGAAGCCTCGTGGAAGGGAGACGGACTAAGGGACAGGAAACCTGGGGGTCTCCAGGTACCAACGGACAGAATTCGCCAGGTTCCTAGGCTGAGCGACAGGCATTTCCCCAAGGCGACGTCCTGCGCGGAGGGGACGCTTGGTGACGGCGGGTCCTCTATGCCCCAGCCGCCCGCAGAGCTCAGTGACCGCCGCGGCCAGCCCAAGGGAGGGACCGGGACCAGGGACTCAAGTCACTCCTGCAGACGGGGCTTGGCCCTCCCGCTTGCAGCCCCGCAGCAAACACCTGCAACACTCTCAGCTCGCTCCCCACGCAGCGCGCCGCAGCGGGCCTGCCGCCGTACAGACCCCACACCCCAAATGCAGGGAGGCCCGAACCTCGCCACTCAGAGCCCGTGACCGCTTGGCCACTGCCACCTCACTCCTCTGACGTTTGAAATAATCACATTTTCTAGGTACGTTGTAACATTGTGATGGAGTACGGAACATACTTGGTCTTCTTGCGGGTGCCTGGCTCAGAGCTCTAAACTCCTCGGGGTTCCCTGAGTGACAGGGGCGGGAGAGCCCCTTCCAACCACACCCGAGTTCACGCCAACACGACTCAACCCCGCAGCAGCCTCAGGATGGGGGCTGGTCACCAGCAGAACCAAGCCTGGGATTCCAGGGCCGGACTTTCAGCCCACCCCACCTCCACCTCCAGGGACCCAGTTAATCACCAGTGGCCAATGGCTTAATCAATCACACCAATGTAACGAAACCTCCATAAAATCCCCTCAATGGTGGGGTTCCTAGGTGAGCTCGTCAAGGTGCTGGGAGCGTGGTGCACCTGGAGAGGGTGTGGAGGTTCTACGCGCCCTTCCTATGCCTTGCCCTATGCATCCCTTCCATCTGGCAGTTCCTGTGTTGTAGCCTTTATAATAAACAGGTGTCGTAAATAAGGTGCTTTCCCGAGTTCTGTGAGCCGTTATAGCAAATGATGGACCCTGAGGAGGGGTTGTGGGAACCCCCTATTTATAGGTACAGGAGGCCCTGGACTTGGGGCTGGTGCCTGAAGTGGGGCCGTCCTGTGGGGCTGAGCCTTGACCTGCAGGGTCTGCACTAACCCCAGGTAGTTCGTGTCAGAAGTGAAGTGAGTTGTTGCACACTGGTGTCTGCAGAGAACGGCAGGTGTGTGGTGGGGAAACCCAGGCATTCAGTTTCAGAGGTGGTGTGAGTCCACACAGGTCACAGTCACATCGCCTGGTGAGGGACGGAGGGGCTGCCGACCGGCCGAGGGGCCTGCTTGGGCACTGACCTCTGCACCCGGCCCGGAACTGACCCCACGCCTCAAAATGGGGTTCAGAAGTGGCACGGGGGGAAGGTTCTTCACCAGATGCTTTTCAACCGGCGGCCGTTGTGATCTGTTTGCAATGTTCCTAGCCACACACACTTCATCGTTCACGTTAAAGATAAAAAAGTACAAACTACAAATTTTAAAGGCCTGAGAAATACAATGAGCAACTTTGTACCCAAAACTGAAACCTTAACTGTAACAGACAAGTCCCCAGAAATACTCAAAAACTGAGGAAACAGAAAACACTACTAGATCCTGACTGGAGAAAGTGGGTGCGGGTCTGTTTAAATCCACATCCACCCCAGGCCCAGATCGCTTTCCAGCAATCCCACCAAACCTCTGCCACGTGAGGGAGCTGGGAGGTGGCTCCCCCAGCTCCAGTCCAGCCTTAGGTGTCCACAGCCCTGGCCGACAGCACGGCCGTGACCTTGGGGAGTCCCTGAGCAGAACCGGCCAGCTGAGCCGCTCCTGGGTGCCCAACCCACAAGAACATAGCACAGACGTGTGCTGTTTACGCTGCTAGATGTGGGCTGTTTGTTACGAGGCAACAGATGACTGATACACTATCTCATACTTTCATTTCAGAGATAGCTCTGCTGGGGACATCAGGGTTGAATCAGAGGCAGACACCGATGAGTAGCAGAGAGGTTGCCAGGAGCCTGGGGCAGGACAGCTGGAGAAGGAGGCACAGGACGGGACTGCCGGGCCCGGGAATTGAGTGGTAGGGGCGCAGGGGAGCTAGCTCTAGGACCACAGCCAAGCGCCCGTAACAGGAGGAGCCATCCTAGAAGACAAGCAGCCTCTGCCCTCCCCGGGCTTGTCCCTCTGGGGGTGGCGCCTCAGCCCTGTCCAGCCCACACCCCGGCTCCCGTCTCCTCTCTGCTCCCCCACCAGCCGCCCTGCACGGCAGCCTCTCCATCACAAGGAGATCATGACCATGCTTAGCCCAGAACTCAGCAACCTGAGAGTTGCTAGGCTGGGTCCACACACATCTGTGGTCAGTGGTCCTGACACCCTCCTCCTCACCCTATCCCTGCCCCCTCCCTGGTCCAAGGGGTTGGCACGCCCACCCCGCAGTGAGGGCTCCCCCTGCTTTGCTCCCCCTGCCTACTCTGGAGTCCCTGGTGGGAACGTCCCCACAGTCCTGCCCCCTCGGGGCCCGCAGACGCTGCAGTACTGGGAGCTGGGGGGTGCGTGTCGGGCTCACGGCCAGCTTTCCTCCACGGCACGTGGCAAAGCTCGGAACATCCCCTTCCTAAATCCCAGCTCTCCGTGGAAACTTCACCGCCAGCAAGTGTGGGTTGGGAGCTCCCTCCCCACCACTGGGAAGAATATTCCAGAAAACCCACCAGTCAGGAAAGGTAAAGCTGACAGTGAGGTCGAGAGTGGGTGTACACAGGCATCGTGCAGCCTGGATCCCACCTGGGTTCTGTGGACCACGGAAACCTCAGTCCCACCCTGCGGGCTCCTGCACCCCCGCCAGGACCCCAGGCGCAGCCACCTCTGTGATGAGGGGGCCCGGCAGGCCGTCCTCCCCCTTTTCTCACACCAGAGCCCCGTCCTTGCTCCTCAGCACCCCCAGAAGGTCCTGCCATCCCCCTGCAAAGATGCACAGGTCAGACCTCTGGAAACCGGCTCTTTCCTTTAACTCTGCTCTGAACTGCCTGCGATCAGAAAACAGCATGGGAGGGGCAGGCGGTGACCCCGGACACCAGAATCTTCAAGCTGGTTCACAACCCAAACTCTGAACACCTTCTCCAAAGAGGCAACATGGGTGGTGGGCTCCGCGAAGGATGGCAAGGAAAGGCTTGGTGGCGGACGGCGCCCGCTCAGCCTCGACGCCCTGACCAACAGCTCCTGTCTCCACCCTGCACAGGGCAGCCCAGGCCCGCGTGGGGGGCGGATCCCCCCACAAGCTCCCCGCCCCGTGGAGGGGGCGCCTGCACTGGACGCGAAAGGGAGCCTCACCCGCGTCATTTTCAGGAAGTCCAGGGCCGGGCGCGGCCAGCGGGCATCCTCCTCGCGCCTGCGTTTCCGCTGGCCCTTCCCGCCCGCGCGCACACATGGCTGAGAGCGGCAGCGGAGTAGGCCCCGGCGGCGGCCCAGCTCGGGCGTGGACGCAGGCGTGGACGCGGGCGTGGACGCGGGCGTGCTGCCCGCGGAGGGTGGGGCCACGTCCACTGGCAACAGGTGCTCCTGTGACAGGGACAGGCGGCGGCGCGGTGAGGGCAAGCGAGGTCCGACGGGTCGCCGAGCCGGGCCCAGGGCCAGGAGGCCGCTGCTGGCCAAAGCCGAGGCCGGCCGGGGCGCAGGGGGTGAGGCGGAGCTGGCAGCAGGGAGGGCTTGGCCCGGCGACCAGGCGCTCCTGGCCTGCAGCGTGGCGCTCCCGCCACTGTGGCACCGCCTCTTGGAGACAGGAGCCCAGACTCTGGAGCCACCGGGGCGCCACGGGGACCGGCAGCGCGCCAGCTCGTCGGGCTCCGACAGGGAGCGGCAGTGTCGCTTGGTGGGCGGTGCTGAGGGCGGCCCTGTGCCGTCCCTGAGGTCCCTGGCACTGACCACACCCAGGCTGGCGCTTGGGCCGCAGGGGCCAGGAGGGAAGGGGATGGCAGGGCCCGTGGCCCCCTGGCTTCCAACGGGCTGTCCTCCACCGACGACCTTCCAGGGGTGCTTGTCTTCTGGGGAAACACGAAGGAGAGACGGGTGAGGGGCGCACGCCCACCGCGCCCTCGGCCCTACCTGGCCTCAGGGTGGGCCCAGCCCCGCTCGTGGGATGCCCCTCCTCCCTGCCCTTGCTCTGCACAGTCGCAGCTCACACCACGGTAGGGATGCCTAGGGGCACGGGGACCCTGACACCACAGACCCGGTTTCCTCGCCATCAGACAGGGGCATAAGGGTCACTCGAGAGGCCGAGCGTCCAGGGGTCAGCAGCTCGACACGGATGGGCTCATGCAGGCAGCATACCTGGGCAAGGAGGCAGCCAGGGGAGTGGGGCCAGGGCTGGGGGAGCCCAGAGCCCCAATGACCTGGCCCGGGGGCGGCCAGCAGCCCCTCCAGCCCAGCTGCTCTGCGGTCACCCCCAGCTGAGGGGCCTTGGCATGGAGGCCAGGACCCGCCGCTGGGAGAGGCACAAGCAAAGGCCCTAGGTGACCCCGGGTCATGAGGACACAAAGTCAGAAAGGACGGCAGAGCCGGCTCCGTGGCCTACGGGAAGCCCGAGGGGCTCCAAGCCAGGACTGGCCCTTTGTGGGACGGAGACGGTGCCCAGGGCCACGTGCGGGCCCATATCACCCGAGACCTTGGTGACAGCTGCACCTGAGCAGCCTGGAGGGAGCTGAGCACAGCGTCCCCGTGGAGGTGAGCAGGGCCGCAGGGGCAAGACCTGGATGCCACTCGGACCGTCCGGCCTGAAGTCGCACCACTAGCACCTCACTGCGGCCACGGACACCAGCCACGGTTCGTCACAGGGGCCACGGCGCCCACACTCACACTCACGCAAACAGACTTACGCTCGGGCGGCCCAGCCTCCTAGTCCCATTCAGACCACAGGGCACACGTGGCAGGGGCGTGCAGTGCAGGGAAGCGGTCCGGCAGACTCAGGCCCTCCAGGCAGGCACAACCCTGGCTCCCACCACTGGCCGGGTGTGCGCCACACCAGCGCTGCGGCACAGGCCGTGCATACCGCAGGACCCCCGTCCTTTCCCTGGTGGCCACAAGACCCCACCGGGCAGGCCTTTCAGCTCTGCACTGCCAGGCCGCTTCCAGAAAGGAAGCTCTCCAGCCCACACCGCTGCCCAGAGGAGGGAGAGGCCAGCAGAGGAGGGGGCGCAGCTGGAGCCTCGCGCTCTGTATCAGCCTCCCCGTCCGGCCCTGCTCACGGGGTCCCGGCCCACAGCAGCCCAGAAAGACCCGCTGGGGCTTTTAAATACTTACCGTCGGTCTCAGAAGGGAACAAGTGGACACTTGTGTTCAGTTTCTGGGCAGAATACTGAAAGTGAAGAGAAAAAAGTTTCAGTACTGTGGGTTTACACATGCGGATTCAGAAATAGTTCCAACTCAAGAAATGGGCCTGTGTTTTTATCCCTGCAATAAACTTGTTTTTCCCCAACACTGTCTTTCTTGGTGATTAAAAAGAAAAGCATGGACCCCGGAATACATTTCTTTTCTGAATCAGGATTCTTAAAAGCCTCACAATTATTCAGTTGAGTAAAGGACGTAGAGAGCCACAAGCGGACTTCCCTGGTGGCGCAGTGGTTAAGAATCCGCCTGCCAATGCAGGGGACACGGGTTCAATCCCTGGTCCAGAAAGATCCTACATGCCACGGAGCAACTAAGCCTGTGTGCCACAACTACCGAGCCTGCACTCTAAAGCCCGTGAGCCACAACTACTGAAGCCTGCACGCCCTAGAGCCCATGCGCCTCAACTACTGAAGCTCGTGCGCTCTAGGGCCCATGTGCCACAACTACTGAGTCTGCATGCTGCAACTACTGAAGCCTGTGCGCCTAGAGCCTGTGCACCACAACAAGAGAAGCCACTGCAATGAGAAGGCCACGCACTGCAACAAAGAGTAGCCCCCGCTCACCACAACTAGAGAAAGCCTGTGTGCAGCAATGAGACCCAACGCAGCCAAAAATAAATAAAAGTTTTTTTAAAAAAGAAAGAAAGTGACAAGGCAAACCATGGGATAGGAGAAAATATTTGCAAAACACACATCCAAGAAAAGACTTGTATCCAGAATATACAAAGAGTTCCTACAAACCAGTGAGAAAAATGCACAGAATCCAAAAGAAAAATGAGCAAAAGGACAGCAAAAAGGACAGACAGACAGACAGTAAGTACAGGAAACGGCCCTGATCTCACTGGTCATCCGGAACATGCAGTCAGAGCCATGAGCAGACGCCACCATTCCCGACCAGGGAGAAGGCACGGCTGGGGTGCTGACAGGCCTCTGGGCAGGCCTTCGCTTAACACAGTGGGAACAGACTTCCACAAGAGGCCTGCACACGAACGCAGTCAGCGGTGTTATTCTTAACAGCCAGTCGTGGACACATCCCGAGTGTCCGGCAACACGAGATGCGGACCATTCGACAGAGTAAAGGAACAGCTCCTGATGCACCGTCTACCCAGTGAACCCAGGGGCATTCATTCGCCTTGAGTGGAGAAGCCAGTCTCCAGGAGTACACGCTGCATGTTGGCACTTCTGGGACATTCTGGGACAGCAAAGCCACGTGGGGCCACAGGGGACTTCCTGGGGCGATGGAGAGGTTCGCAGTGACGGTGACAAGGTTACCGCGTACACAACTGGAAAACTCACCCAATCCACACCAAACCCCATCTGCGCATTTCACTAGATGAAACGTACACCTCAACAAAAAAGTATATTTTAAACTCAAGGCTTTAAAAGCTGAGCTCTCCGCCAACCCAAGTCTATACCTGCACAGCCGGACGTGCTGGAGGACACACACAGCACGCTGAGGCTACGTCCACGGGGGCCAGCACACGCTGACCCTCCGTGACCTTGCACCCCGCCTCACTCCTCCACCTGGCACCCTTCCCATGCCCCCAGCACAGCCCTGCAGCAGAGGAGGCCTGCTCCCCTGACCCGAGTCATGGCCTCTGCTCCAGCCCTGGCCCTCACTGAGAACGGATGCCAAGCACCTATCCCCACCAGGCTCGTGTCCCCACAGGGCTCGTGTCCCCACCGGCTCCTGTCCCCACAGGGCTCGCGTCCCCACCAAGCTCTGGGGCCTGTGGGCCCTGCTACCCTCTCACTCCCGCGTCCGGCCCAGGCTCCAGCTGGCTCACGGCCCACAGCCTCCGCTCCACCGAATTCCAGCCCTGTGTCAACTCCCAACGCCCCTCCCCCGCTCTACTTGTCCCCAGCACATCATCTGCTTCCCCTGGACCCCAGCATCGAAAACAGCTGCCCTGCTCTCTGGGGCATCCGGGAGCCCAAAATCAAACAGTGATAGAGATGACCGGGACTTTCTTGCTCAGAAAGATAACACTAATTTGTGTCTTTCACTATGTAAATTACACCTCTTTTTTTTCTTTTTTTTTCTGGCTGTGCAGCTAGCAGGATCTCAGTTCCCTGAACCGAGGCCCTGGGGCAGTCAAAGGGCCCAATTCCAACCACTAGGCCACCGGGAATTCCCTCCTCTTTTTTTTTTTTTTAAGTGAATGTTAGAGCAGGTGCTCTAAGCCACGTCTACGCACCCACAGCACAGGAACCCCACAGACATCAGCAAGCCTCACCAGGAACTCAGTGAAACGCCCACTGGTACAGAAAGGAATTATTTCCCACACACGTGCATCCTGTACAGAAAGACATGTGGGGAAGTCACACAAAGTGAAATGATCTGTGTCACAATGGGAAGAATTATAAGTGGGACTTTTCTTGTCATGCTCTCTCTACAGCGAAACCCGCTCGCGTGCCCCCACAGGCGACAAACAGGCCAAGGGCTGGGTGCGGGCGACACAACAGTGCTGAGCACCCGCCCGGCGAGACGCTCAGGCACGGCCCCCAGCACCAGGCAGGTGCGGATGCTCAGCCGCCTCCCTCTGGACCTCCAGTTTAACCAGGCAGGGTGTGAGCTGAAGGTCATGGCAACACGGCCCTAGAAGTCGGCTCCACCTCGGGCAAAGCTAACCCACAGAGACAGAATTCAAGAGGAGCTCTCAGGAGAGGTGGCGCCCGGAGGCATGGGCAGCGTCTGGTGGGCATGGCTGCCGACCAGGGTGGACGTTTGCCCACTCAGCACCCAGGACCATATGCGTCTACGTGTAGCACAGGCTTTCAAAGTTTGTTCTTAATGATGCTGAGAACCCACCATCACGACGCTGACGGGCTCTGGGGGCTGCGAAGGCGCCAGAGCCTCCCTGGGACACTGCCCCCTCCCTCCGCACCTCCCCCCATCCTCTCCCCCCGCCGGGGCCCAGTCCAGGCAGTGGCCCCCAACGTGCGCTGGGCAGCTCACCGGGCCAGCATCGTAGCTCTTGCGAGCAAGGTCATCCAGGCTCTGGTTCTGCAGCTTCTCAGTGATGAGGGTGACCATGGTCTGGGGCCCGTGCCCTCTGTCCGTGCCGGCAGGCCCTGGGGTTCTGGAACATCAGGCTTCAGGAGGCCCAGGCCGCTGCTGGCTCTGAGCTAACCCTCAAGGGTACGTTTCCATTTTAAAGACGAGCGATCCATTTCCAAGGGTTCTTCAGAGCTTCGTGCCTGTTTCTGGCAAAGAGAAACAAACCGTCATAAGGATTACAGGCAAAGCCATTCAGCTAATGACTCTGTCACCCGCCAGTACTGCGTGTGTGAATATTCTGATCTCGCTGCCTAACAAAGACCCTCCCGCGTGAAAACTACCACAAGAGCTCTCTCCTGGAAAATGTAATAAAAGCAGCGGTCTGGGTGAAGGATGGCAGGCGGACACGCGTGAGAGCCAGCGAGGGAGGCCTCCCCACCCCTGCTCCAAACACAGGCGCCAGACGGGAGGAGGCGCGACCGCCACGCTTTGGACTCGAGAAGCCGCTGGAAACCTAGTCCTCAGCCAGCGGCAGCGAGACCCCGGAAATGAGCTGGCCATGAACGGCTGCACCCACCTGGCCGCTGACCAGTCACCGCTGACCACTGACCGCAGCAGTTAGACACCCCTCCCCCGCTCCACCTGGCCAGTGAGAGCCCCGCCCCCAACTGAAGCTGGGGTTCCCTCCTGGGAGGGGGGCGGGGGTGCAGAGTTGGCAGCAGACCCAGCTGGCGGCAGCCCGGGGGGGACACTCGGAGGACCTGGCTCACTGCAGACGCCGGCGGGAGAGGGCCGGCCACCCGCCCGCCACGCAGGCACCCCCTTCTCAGTGGCCCGCTGCCGCCCG